TCTAGTTCACGTACGTCTGTCAATTCTGTTACGTAATATGACCCGCGATAAAGGAATATCGTCGTGGTTCGGGAAGCAACGTTCGTTCAAGGTCTCCAACCCGTGGATAAACCATGGTGGATACGGTATGGCAGGGGGTGGACCGATCAGACGAGCAAAGGGAAACGAACGTGTCTGGACGAGGCGGCAGGGAGTTGACAATTTCTCGCCAATGACGAGCGGAGACGAGAAATTGCCGCGGAATCCGTTCTCGCTCCCTCCGGCAGTCACTTATTTCCTATTTACCACCCTTCGTCTCTGCTCCGTTGGCTCTGGCGACGTCGAACGCGACCCCTTCTTACGCGTGGTTTGCCCCTCGATACCTTAACCTTTGTCGTGGTTCACCCAAAATGGCGGCTTCAGTATGGCTACCGTGAATTTCTTCGCGATAGACACTGCGATCGTCTGGCAATCCAGCTTTGGAAATCGTTTTTTCGACCACAGATGGCCTGTTGTAGTCTGTGTTATCCTCTGTTTTCCTCGATTATACGTTGAAACGTTGGAGAGATCGTAACGGAATGTGGGTGGTGAACAGCTGGTTCGGTTTACACAGCACAGAACTTACCGACTCATAGTTCTTCCTCACCCGTTTCCAACCAAGAGCGTGAAAGGTCAATCGGTGAACGTTAGTCGCCTTGAAGAAATGTTCTTGGAAATAACGTACACCCCCAAATAATTGTTTGCTTCTCGATGCGGGTCATGTGTAAGTATGAACCCGTATCGTTCGAACAAAAGAAAACTGTTGACGATCTTGGGAATATTGTTTTCCAATCAAATATTTAGGTACGAGTTGAATGGTATCGTCGAGTACTCCAGGTTCGTCGTTGAAAGGAAAATTTTCTACTACACGCAGTAATAAGAATACGACCGACGACACTTTGGTTCTTCTGGATTGTCTCCTGTGAACAATCTTTAATGGAGTCCACGGGCTGGAGGTAAATTTCTTGCATTCTAGCGAATTTGCTAGAACTTTGAATTTATTATGTTTCAGTGATGATCGTTGAAAGTAAAACGCGCGTTATCCGGACGACAAATTGGATTCGCACAATTGGAAACGAGAAAATTACTCTTAATCGCGAAGCGTCCGCTGACATTTCGATCTTGTCTCGGCAAATTCCACTACAATTATCCGCGGTGTCTGTTTTTTCTCTCTCTCTCTCTCTCTCTCTCTCTCTCTCTCTCTCTAGTCGTTGATTTCTTTTTTTCGTATCCGCTTCTTCGATGCGCCGCTCATTGTGGGTGCTAACCATTTTATCGTTTAACCGGTCGGCGTCCATCCTCACCTCTCCTACGTTCCCCTCGTTATTGCTTCTTTTTCTTCCTCTCCTGTTTAACCACCGACCCCTCCGCCCTGCCCGTCAATATTATATTATCTCGTTTCTTCGTCGGTCTTTATAATTTTTCATCCGTTCGACTCGCTCGATTCTCCTATCTTTTCTTTTCAGCATCGATCTCTGCTCATCGTTCACGGTCGGTTTTCTACCCGGCAAAGTCCTCCTCACGGATCTTCGGGTCTTGCAGCGACGCACCTCGATCGAGATTTTTCTCGATCAGTCCCGTAATTCGCGGGCGCTAACCTCGTTAAAGCCGTGTTTGTTAGCTGCTATCGAACTTTTGCGATTCGAACTGGTCGATCGTAGCAGATTCCTCGAAGAATCTTTGATCCCAGCCAAACGGTCGGATCACGAGCCTACTATACGTAGCGGTAGCAATTGGACTTGGGAGTTATTAAACTGTAGAAAATGTCGAAGTGGAGAACCGTAAATAATATGTAACGTTTCGTAAAACTACCGTGTGTAGCTTTTATTACGAGCCTCGCAAAGGAAATACAGTCCCGGTAGAGCAGCAATATAGCATAATTCAACAGGAGGAGGGGGGGTGCGCAACAGTCTAGATTTTATAGCAGTGATTAGCCCGTGTACCCGAGGATTTTCTTTCTACAATGTCGTCGTGTCTGTGGAAACCCCAGCTCGGTTGCAGTAACATCGGACTCGCTTTCTAGAAATTGCATCGCGTTTCAGTTAATGTTACGTATTAGCCGTATCGGCCTATGAAACCGAATAATTGCGGCTGTATCTTGGGAGTTCAGGAAGATAGGGGGGGGGGGGGGGATGCCACGAGAAATCGTTTTAACGGCTGCGCGGCGAGTCGTCGAGCCTCTTCTTTCGCGAGGCCCGGCGATAATGGAATTCAACGAACGTTGCGTACCGGCGACGCATTACGGAATTACGGATTTAAACGACGAGTGAACGAACGATTGGGAGTATATACACGTTACAGAGGGAGAAACGGATAGGGAAAGGGGGATAAACAGGGGACGACGAAGGGTGGTGTCGAAAATGGGAAAAGAGGAAAATTGGGGGTGGATGCTGGGAGAGGAAGAAGCGCCTCGCGCCGGATAGGGAGTACACGAGCTTCCGGTTCGGTCGTACCCCTTCCCCTGGCTTTCCAATATTCTTCTCGGTCGGCGATTGGAGATCGAATTGTCCGTTAATTGAAATGATTAATTGTCTCACCTCTGGCGTCCCTGGTCGAACGGTTCGCGTCCCCTGATTGCTTATTTACAAATAGGAAATTCGAAAATGTGCAGAATCGCGCGGCATCGGCGGCGGCTACGGCTGTCCTGGCCGGTAAAGGGGGGACGGCAGAGCGGAACGCGGCGAAGAGGAAGCTAACTCGAAGCGGGACGAAGATAGAACGATGGTACACAGACCGTTTCGTTCCTCCTGTCCCGTGTTGCACGGGACAAGGACGGCTCGATGATCGCGCTCGTGCGCGAGATACAACGGCTCTATATACGGCGATAGCGTGGTATCCGTGGATAGGGAGGGAGAAGAAGGGGGGTTAGGTGGTGGTAACTCGGATACTCGCTCGCTCACCGAGTTTCCATCGACGGAGAAGGGATGGAGAGCCAGGGGGGAGGCCACGAGGTGGAGGCCGTACGAGGGCCGCAATATCGTAGGATATTACGAATTTGCTATTTTCCGCGGCGGCCGAATTGAAACTGGGATTGTTAATTACTCGGTGATTATCGCAGGCAGAATCGAAGTCGCGCCGAAATTGCAGAAATCGAAATTACTTTTACGATCCTCCTTCTCGCACCCTCTCCCAACCTCGACCCGCGGACGCCTTTTTCGAAGATCGCGCGATTCTGTTCTCAGTTCTCTGTAGTCGTATCGGTCACTCGATCTTCTCGTTGGTAACTGACGTTGTTTCTAAAACGCGATCCGAATGCAGTAAAGGCTCCTTGAGAGTTTCTACCTCATCCCCACCACTTGGGTGGAGGGAACTGTGTTTTATTACCCCCTCCCTAGATTTACAAGGTGTTGAAACGATTGGCACAGTGCACCGTAAAAGTTTACTGGAGAGAGTCTTTACTGTATGGAAAATCGAAGAAGTATGAGTAGGGCGCGAGGACGAACGTATCGAGGCGTTTCGCGGTCATCCGTCGAAGATTCACCGGGTACACTCGACGGTAGATATTTCCCACGCGCGTCTCGATCTCGAGGTTCCTACGATCGCCGGCTCTCGAGAAGGGAATAGGTACACGAAACTGGAAGGGCGATAGACCCGCGGCGTAGATGGAAGGAAGAGGAGCGGTTCTCTCGGTCAACGGGAGCGGGCAAATTGAAATTCGTAGATGCGGTGCGGCTCGCTTGGCCAATTGGAATGCAGAATCATACCGGAAATGCCGAGTAATGCGCCAATCAGAGTCTGGGAATAGTTAGAGGCCCGGATGATTAGGAATGCGCGCAATAACCTCTGATTAATGTGATCGGTGTATGGTATATGCCGTGTACCGTGGCACGACGGCGGCGTCGGTGGCGTCGGTGGCTCGTTGCTCCATCCTTTGGCTCCGGCTACCGCTTATGCGAATGCATCCTTCGTCTCTCTCCCTCTTTCACATTCTCGCTCGCTCCCGCGGTGTTTCGATCGTGCCCTGCGTTTCTGTTCTCGTCTTTCCTCTTGTCGCGCCTGTCCCCCCTCCTTTCGGTCGGTTCCCTAGATCGTCGGTCTCCTACGCGCTGGTACAATTACACTCGCCTTACGCGCGTCTACGTGCACGTTCACGCGGATTCCACGCAAACACCGGCGTGTGCCCGTCCGATCTCGTCGTCCATCTCCAGTCATGTGTATGTATCGTAGGTGTACTTGCACGTACCGGAGAGAACCGAATAGGTACGTACGCGTCGCGTAATCGTACGTATTGCTATGTACGCGCGTATAATATATCTCTGTCCATGGCCGGTATAGTTTGTGGAAGAGCTTGCATCGGCCGGTTGCAAACGAGAGAGAGAGGTAGGGAGAGGGGAGGTGGAGAGACAGGAGTGTACCGAGGCCCGGTCGAGCGGGGGTGGGAGAGGGAGGGTGGTAAGGGAAACGGTGTACGCGCGAGTGCTCCACTCGCGTGCCTGCGTGGGATGAGGGGGTATGCATTTACATAAATACATAACGCGGGTGCATACAATGTTAGTGCTATGCTGTCAATTCTACCCTTGCAACGAGGCAATTCTGAGTTATGCCAGAACGCCATGCCCTATGACGGGCCTCTCCCTTCTAGTATGCGACTGCACCCTTCGCGCGCGCCTCCCCGTATGTTTGTGCCCTACCGCTCTCTCCGTCGCCCCGAACCACCCCCTGTCCCTCCTTTTCCTGGCTCCTCCGGCCTCGCTCTCGCCCTCGCCCTCGATCCCTCAACCCTCGTCTCTCCCGGGTGCGCCCCGGTGCTCCCTCTCCCGCCCTCGAGGCCGCCGTGTCTCCGTGATTGCTACATTCATCCGGTATCTTTAAAGTTTCCCCGACCGAGCTACGAGAACCGGTCGCCCAGCGACTTTCCAGTTTTTCCCGCGCGTTCACTTGAAGAGAGCTCGTTTCGCCCGAAGGACGAGATATAGTTAGGGTTTTCGATACATCGATTCGAGAGACTGTTCGTCTCTCATTCTCGTCGAAATTGGTTACAGTTGGTTCGTCGTTGCGAACGTTTCGTCGCGGGTTCCGAACGTGCAAAGACGCGGGAAAAAGGACTCGGTGACGGTGTGCGTCTCGGTGGTTTCGCGCTCGATATCTGCGAGGTAAAATTCACGAACGATTACATCGACGATTGGTCGTCGGTGTAAAAACAAGGAACGACCGAAGCATGGCGGTTTAATCTAACCGTTGACTGGATTGAAAGCAAAACCACGAACGAGCTCGATTCTTTTGCGCTCGGTCTCCGCGCGAGCCCATTAAACGCACCGCCACTTACGCTTACATAATAATAACGGTGAATAACGAGAAAGCGTCTTTGTTCGGACGGTCGTTTTTTCACGGCGGTAGGGGGGCCGTGGAGAGGTCGGTCGGGCAGCACAGCGGCGCGAAATTAAAACTACTAAATCCCTTTCGGCGAGCGTTATAAAGCGATGTCCCCTTCCCGGTCTATATTTCCTGCCGGTGACGATATCGAAGTTACCGTAGCGCTTCAGCGGGACAACTTTCCGGAACAAACGTACCTAACCCGACACGAACCTTGTTCCGCCCCCGCTCTTTCATCTTCTCGACGAACCGGCTAACCGTACGATTTTTTTGCTTTTTGTTCCAGGTGAGTACCTGCTCTCTTCGACCACTCGGAGCCATCTTCTGTCTCGAGAGATCCGTCGCGCCTGGTTTCGCGCGATTAGGCGGATCAATCTTTCTTTTTTCTTTTTTTTTCTTTTTTTTTTCGTCCGTTCAGACGTCGCGACGACCGGCGTATCAAACGGGGAAACAATTAATAACGGTGCTGACGGGACGAGTTCTCGGCCACTCAATATTAAAAGTCACAGGAGAGAAATTTCGCCTCGTCGTTTCATTTTTAAACGCCGTTCGTTTCTGAATCCGCGCTCTTCAACTATTCACGATCGACGCGCGCGGATCCGCCGCGGATAATCCTAAAATATATTATATTTGTCGCGACATCGGTCAAAGGTCGCGACATTAACTTTAAACTCGCTTATTACGATCCGCGATATCAACCTCCTTTCCTCGACGTCCTCGTTTAAGAGCTTTGGATGTTTACCCACCTGGAGAGTATGATGGAACTACCGAATTATCGATGACGTGTTTCGCCTAGCCAAAACCCTGAACGCGTTTTTATTCGTCCAAAGATTCGGTTACGTTCTTTAGACAGGCTAATAGCTGTTCGATCGTGTCTTCTCTCAGCGATCTGGGATCAACTACGTTGGGTACAGACGAAACGTTTCTATCTAAACTCCGTTCCATGTAAGAATAATCTCAAGCTTGGACGAGTTTTCGACCGATCTGCGCAGCCCCCACTACTACCGACCGATTCGGACGCGTGCGATTGCTTGTAGCTCGGTATCTCTGCCGATCTTCTACCAATGAACGCTCTTAGATTCCGTCCCATGTGCGAAACGAGGTTATTCTTACGTGGAACGGACTTCAGACGAGATATATTAAACGTTCATTTACATCAGTGTTGTCTAACCCTTTTTGGATCATGCCCCACCCCAAAGCCTCAAAGATCACAATACCCCCCCCCCCCAGCATAGTAGTAAACCAAGTTCCACAAAAATTTAACTTTCTTCAATTTCTTCAATTTTCAAATTATCCCTCAGCAGGGTGTACACCCCATATTACGAAACACTGGTTTACGCAAAGTAGCTAATAAACCTATTTTTTCCACGAACCAAATGTTACTACGTTTCTTACTCTTCGTATCGTGTAATTTTTCTTCCGTTACCGGTAGGACTCGCGTCGAGCATGAGCGTGATTCTTGGCGACACTCGGCCAGTACGGGGGGATAGTGGGAGCGGCGGCATATACTATTCGCGCCATTCATCTCCGAGGAGACGCGACGTCGTTGAACGAACTCTGTCGCAACGACCTCTCGCATATGCACAAACGCATACACGGGATCGCGACGTCGGGAACATACGTATCCATACATATTTATCACACACGTGTGCGTGTATGGAGTCGGACGCATATCCGGCGAAACAAATATAAAACATAAAATATATATAT